AACCTTTCCTGACCCTTGCAAACAGATTCACTTAAGTGAGTAATTGAAACCCCGGCCACAAAATGATAAAGTAGATTTTCTGAAAAAATATGTGACATACCGAGTGCCATGTTTTTCCATGTCTCTCAGATTGTCTGCAGTCTAGGTATGATTGGGGCCCCCAGGGGCCTTCACAGGGTGTCCTGAGTCGAAAGGGCTCATCCCCTATTCAGGTGATAATCAGATGCCTAGATTTGCCCTCTAGGGGCCTTTGAGGCCCCAAACAGGATTTATGTACACTGCCTTGTCAAAATGACTAATTACCAAATTTCTATAATATTATGGTAATAGGTCTGGGCCCCCAAGATGTCCTGAGTCAAAATAGGTCACTCCTACTTTTCTACAAAAATCTAGATATGGCAGGATTTCTGTATACTACCCTCAGTCAGAATGACCCACCCCAATGTTTCTGGTACTTGGGGCCCCCAAGTACCTCTGTACACTTCCTGGGGTCAAAATAGCTCACTCCCATGTTTCTACATAAATCAGGTGGCAAGATAGATCTGGGGCCCCCAAGTGCCTTTGTACATTACCACCGGTCAAAAGAGCTCACTCCCATGTTCCTACAAAAATCAGATGTCTACATATGGGGCCCCATGCAGAGTCTCAGTACATTACCCTGAGTCAAAATGACCCGCCCTGATGTTTCTATAATATTCTAGTGCCTAGATAGGTCTGGGGCCCCCAGGTGCCTCTGTACACTACACCAGGTCAAAACAGCTCACTCCCATGTTTCTGCAAAAATCAGGTGCTGGGGCCCATACAGGATCTCTGTTCACTACCATCAGTCAAAATGACCCACTCCTATGTTTCTATAACATTCTGGTGCTTAACTAGGTCTGGGGTCCCTTTGTACACTACCCCTAGTCAAAAGAGCTTACTCCAATGTTTCTATAAATAAGCAGATGCCTAGATATGACTGGGGCCCCAACGCTGGATCTCTGTACACTACCCTTAGTCAAAATGATGCACCCCTATTATTCTATAATTTTCTGGTGCCTAGGAAGGGAACTCCAGTACACTACACTGTGTCAAATGAATCCACACCCATGTTTCTATAATAATCATGTATGGGGCTTCTGGGGGCCTCTAGGGGCCCCAAATAAATATAGACAGACAGATATGCACACATAGGACATATATAGGAAAATACTTATGTAAACGTTTAACAAAAGAGAAATTTGTGATGATTGAACATTTTCAGTGATATTTTAGTTTTTTGGATGCATATTTTATTGATAGAAGTGAAACTTTTAGCAGGGTTTGTTATACTTGCATTCAAAAGGTTTTTCTTGAAGCACCATTGCTATTGGAGTTTAAGGTCTCATACTAGGTCAAAATGCAAAACAGTTTAATCAGAATTTGCATTTGTTATTATCCTGTCTGAAGTAGTCGGAATTGGAAAAATCACACGTCCTATTTTTCTTTCTTTTTTTTTTTTTTTACTTTCCATGTGTTTATAGAGCTAAATTGCAAAAGTATTGTTATTTTGCACAATCTCTAGTTTCCTCATGTATGACATGGTAGTGTCTATAAACATTAATTCAATCTGTTGCCCAAAGGAGATTGAAAAAAGCACAGAGCAAATCGACAAACAATCCTCAGACCCATTCTTCTGTTATTTAGTCAAATATGTAAATAGCTATCAGACTAGGGAAATAATGTTTTTTTTTTTCTTAGAGAACTAAAATGTATTTTTGATCCCTTGTGTGTCCATATGAAGTCAAAATGTAATCAACATATAGTGATGTCAATCAATTGTAAATTTTAATTGAATTACGTGATTTTGTAGTTAATTACATTGTTTTAATTGCACCAAGTTTTGATTGCCATACAGTACATACACAGTCTATAGTTTGGCTAATTATATTACTTATTGGAAGAATTGTTTATCATTCCTATAAATGTAATTAATTAATGAACATTTGTCATATTGCTGCCATTTTCGAAAAGCAATAAGCCACTCATGACCTCGCATTACAGGGATTTTACCATGATTAATGGAGTTTCCTTCGTTTGTAAGAATCACTCACGGATGTATGCGGCTAATCAGTTTATTGTGTGGTGTTTGTGACTTTTTCTCTCCTCAAGTATGCACATTTATATGATTGTATGTCAGAATCAGCTCTCCTGTGTGTGTGTGTGTTTCTTGTGCTGTATTAGTATTCAGCCCATTCCTGCACAGAGCCGACAGGGAGAATGTTGTCTTTCCTCTCCTACTACAGCAGCCAAACAACCTGCACATGTTTGCCGGAGAGAAACTTCTCCTTTCTCCTGCTCGCCACGCTCTTTAAAGGATTTTTAAGAGGATTTGCCTCACTAGTTTAGTTCCAGAAATGCACTTCCTTGTGGAAATTCTTGAAAGTCAGACTACGGCGTTGGCTGTTGAGTCTCTTAGAAATGATGACGGGAACATGCACATATAATTAGAAATATTCCTTCGGTTCCATCACAGAATCATCCAGCATCATCTGGCCGGTGGAACGAGCATTTGTGCATGTGTGTTTGAGCTTTGTATGACGATTTCTCAGTAGTCTGGAGATCTGAGGGTTGGATGGCGCTCAAACCACTGCCTGTAGGGTGTCTTCCTGTGCCGCAGGGCCCTGCTGATAGCAACCGCTGCCAGCTCTGCCGCGGTCACACTGCTCTCAAGACCTGAGGTTTTTCTCTTTCTTTCTGAAGCAACTACCTTTAACAACATTCATTGCAGCAACTAGTAGCAGCAGCTTTTCTATAACGAAATATGAAGAGTTAATTTGCAAAAACCGATAACTCCATTTTTTTTTTTTTCAGAAATCACGTTTTTTTATTGCGCATTCCAGTTAATATCAATCAAACTGCAGTTGGGTTGTTTTGATTAAGTAATAATAACTTAAATACAGATAATTTACTAAATTAAAGTTCATTGAAAGTATGTTTTTTTTACATATTAAAAGTTTGTTTTATAGCAAAAGCAGATCACTCAAACAGTCGTTTTTTGGCAAAAGCAGATAACTCCACATTTTATGTTTTAGAATTAAAAAAAACACTTGTTTAATCTTTGTAATCTCCTCGGATGACAATGTAGATGCCTGACAAACGTTGTTGTTGTTGTGATCATAAACTGTATGGATGTGATTACACTCAATACACGGAGCTTTTCCCTCACCGTTGTAATGCGCTGCTTTTGCAAGGTTCCGTGAAAACGTTTCAGCTTTTATTTTCCTTTTTCGCCCTGAAGAAGATATCACAGGTTCATCAAGTTCGTCGAAATTATCCATCCTCGATCACTTTTAGTCAGCTTTGACGAAACTCCTCTCAGCTAGCACGTCTTTTCAAAGTGAAAGTAGCCTTGTCACCTGACCTGAATACAGCGCGCTGATTCGCTAAAATGGACTTATCGGCTGCTGTTCAATAACAACAAGGGTGCTTGTCGGCTTCTGTAGTAAAACGAGAATTCACGATGCCTTGAAAGTGGACAAAACCGGCTTTTTTGACAAAACGTGTTTAGGGTTCAGATCACGCTATATGTGGAGAATAATGCACGGCAATCAGCTTTTTTTTTTTTTTTAAGTGGCGTTTATCGGTTTTTGCAAATGAACTCTTCATATCATTTCTCCCTAAAACCCAGTCTTCTGAAAATTGTATCCACATTTTTAACACTTATTTACAGAATATTTTGGCATTTCATTTTAAAGAAAAAATATTGCTTAATAATAATTACAAATGTTATTCAATTTAAGAGTAAATCTGACAATAGCATACCACCTCGAAATCAAAATAAAGAAAAAAATTTTTTATTCTAATTATTTAAATGACTTCATTACAGTGATTAGAATATAATTAGAATTGCAATCAATGAATAAATATAATTTATAAAATATATCGAACAGACACATAAAGATTAATAAACGTATGGAATCACTCTGAAGAATGAATTCAGATTTTTACATTTAAGGCATTTTTGCCCAAACCTCTTGTAAACTTAGATAACCAACCAAGATGCAAACACATTACATTTATTAGGATTTGAGGGGAAATTTAGAATCAAATTTGAGCTTTTACGGCTGTATTGAAACAAACAAGCTGTAAAGAAAGAAAGCGATCAACAAAGAGTGGCAGAAAGAGTGAGTGAGATAAGGTTCACCTTTGGAGTGGAATAGAAGGACAGGGAGACTCCGGTGGGTGGAAGGCATTTCTGGCACAGATGGAATTTTCCGTAGGAGGAGCCGACCATAGCAGTGTGATGCCCCAGGCAAATATGAACAATAACTTGCAGGCTACCCTTCTCCACCACCTCTTAAATGAAAAATTGAACCGTCATCCAGGCTGCATGCCTTGTTGCCCACATCCCTATGCCTGTTCACATCTCTAAATAATGGCACACTCACACACATGCACACACACTCCCTGCAGGGATTTACCTGCATGCTCTGTGAAAGTCAATATAACATTGAAGCAGTAATATGAGATCCAGGTACGAAGCAAGACTTATTAAGTCACCCCAAAATATCCATCAATCATGGGATCATAGTCCCCCCCAGTGCTTTCCTAACTTCATTACTAGCTAAAAGGTTGCATAGGAAATTTACAAAGTCATGCCCTGTGCATACCTTCTCACCCGAACGCTTTGTCTGCATGCTTCACGTTTTCATCACCATTCCTCTGGTTTCAGAAGTATAAATGCAGGGCAAACTGATTTGGCATCAGGAGTCTGCCCACATTATAAGGTAGAATGATTGCAGTGCATGGTTAGGTTGATTGGCCACTTAATCTCTCAGTGCAGTCACAAATATCTGCAGCGTTGCCAAGTCAACGCACAGACCCTGCTAAGACAGGAAAAATCAGAGTCTGAGCAGAGGGCGACGCTGGTGCTACTGCAGGTCCTGACCGTGCCACTAGTATAGTTAACCTTGGACCACAGAGTATTTGACTGAAGAAATTACCTCAGCATGCTGCTAAATATCAATCACTGCCTAATCATGAGTGAGGTGAGATGGTTGGACTTCTAGTTGCAGCTGATATTTAAAAGGAAAGGCTTACAGGAATGAAAAAGAAACCCACTTGGAAAAGTGGGTGTTTGAGGGAGATTCAGAAAGGTGAGGGATATAAAAAGGCAGGGTCGAGAGAAAGAGAGAGTCGTAAAAGGCAGATAGGGGTGGAGTAAGGGAGTTATAAAGGGCGGAGTAAGCAAAGTAAAGGGGTAGGGCTGCAACAAACAATTGTTTTGATAATCGATTAATCTAACTATTATTATTTAATAGTACTAATACTATTCAATTATTTGATTGATTGTTCAGCTTTTTCAATTAGTTAAAATATTGAGTTAAACATATTCTAGCAAATAAATATAATAAGGTACACTCTAAAAAATGCTGGGTTGTTTCAACACAATGTTGGGTCAAATATGGACTACCCCAACTGTTGGGTTAAAAAGCTCATTTAAAAATTTAACCAAAATGTAACCCAACAGTTGGGTTAGTCCATATTTGACCCAACATTGGGTTGAAACAACCCAGCATTTTTTAGAGTGTAATCACGTCAGCTTTTGAAAATCATATTACTACTATGTAATTACAATTATTATACAATTAATTTTTTTAAATACAAATACATATAATTGGCACAAAAAATGTGATGACAGACAAGAGAGACGTTCTTGATTTAACCCTAATGCTTGATTTAAGGCTATCTATTGCACAAAGTGCTATATAAATAAACGTGACGTGACTGGACTTTAGAGTACTGAGCTGCAGAACTTGTGTAGTCATCCACATCGCTATAATCGCTACAGCCTCACACTCGTCAAACTGCGTTATTGCAGGCTCTTACATTTGGTCATATGAGATCGAAGGACTACTTGACGACAAAAGTATTTCTGGAAAAAAATTTACTGTCACCGTTATTGTTATCGATTCACCCCTAGTAAGGGGAGTATTAAACCGCACGGTCTGGAAAGGGAGGTGGAATATTGCAGAATATGTAAAGGGAGAAATGGGGAAAAGTGAAAGAGTGAGGTCAGAATGAGATAAAGTCTTAAAGGGTGTGGTCAGAAGAGGAGAGAATGATGGAGGGTGTTATGAAGAGGTCAAAATGAAGGGGACCGATAAATAGTAAGGTCAGATGGGGAGGGAATTGTAAAGTGTGAGGTCAGAATGAGGGCGAATGTCAAAGAGTGGGATCAAAATGGGGGGAGGAATGTGAAAGGGCGGAGTCAGGAAAAAGGGGAGTGTTAATGGGCGGGTTCAGAACGGAGGAGTCTTAACAGGTGGGGTCCCAATTGGGGAAATGGTAAGCGGTGGGGTCAGATTGAGGGGGAGTGAAAAATAGGTGGAAATGAGGGGAATGGTAAGGGGTCCTCACCATTTATATTAAGGGGTGGAGTCAGAATGAGGGGCAGTATCAGGGCAGAATGAAGAAGTGTGTTAAAATGACGGGGAGTGATAAATAGTGAGGTCAGATGGGGGCGGGAATTCTAAAGAGTGTGGTCAGAATGAGGGAGAATGTAAAAGACTGGAATCAGAATGAGGGGAGGCGTGTTAATGGGCGGGGTCAGAATGATGGGTGGAGACAGATTGAGAAGAGTGGAAAATCGAGATCAGCAGTGTTAAAGAGCGGGGTCAACTCTTTGATGAGATTTGCTGCTTGCAGTTAAGTGTAGAGTCATAATAAGGGGAATGTTAAAGGGTGAGGTCAGAATGAGGGTCAGCAAATGAGGAGTAGTTAAAAGGCGGGGTCAGAGAGAGAGAGAGAGATCAGGTGTGATTGGCAGTGTTGGACAGGAATGTTGCCTTTAAAGATCAGAAATAGGGAAACAAACATTGTGGAATGATAGAGAGACGTGAAGTTTTGCATGGAAATAATGGCGGGGAATAATGGTAGGAATATGAAGAAACTGAGATGGTCAGGTTCAATTTACTTAATAATATGCTCAACATCACTGGAAGGTATTTAGCATGGAAAATGAGACAATAAAAACTATCATCATTATATTAGCCAATTTGCTTTTCTGTTTTATTGCATTACTATGCACCAGAAATAATCATATACAGAACAATAACACCTAAACCGAAGAGGTCTGGTAGGTTTCTCAGGACTTTGGGTTTTCTCATTGAGAAACGACAACATGAAGGTGTCTCGCTTTCTGCTTCAGTGAATAATGCCACACTTTTGATATATGGATGCAGAAAGTATGCATGGACTTTGACTAATCTAGCATGGTAATTTCCCCAGCAGAGTGAATTAAGACTGTTTTCATACACGTGAAGGTGACCTTGTCCACCAGCCTGCCATTCGGTGATTATTTTGTCCCCCTCTCTCTCTTTCTTTCTCTCTCGCTCTCTCTCTCTCTCTCTCTCGCCTTTAATATGATGATTTTGGTAGATGATGTGAATACAGTTGTTTTTTGTTATAAACACATTTTAATTATCAAAAAAAGTATTCGGCTGTGTCCTGCATTTTGCAGGCACCTATGTTACTGCAAGATAAATATTGTAGCCTTGACTGCAGTTGTTGAGTTATTTTAAGCAAAAAAGAAAAATCTGTGCATTCACGTGATTTATTAGTCTATTAAAACTCAAAATTTAAGGCATTCTAAATTGTAGACGGCAAAAATGCTTCTGTATGCTTTTTATATTTATATAATTTAATATAGTTCACTTAATCTATATCACACAAAGAGTACTGTTTTTCTGCAGATATCAGCATGACAACTAATTTAATAATCATTTTATACAAGTTCAATAAAGTTAGCAATAAGTGACTTACATTTTAGACATAATATTGCTTGTTTTCGCTCAATTTTGCCAACGAAAATAGTTCCAAACCAAGATCACAGTACTGTTTTGTGTCTCTGAGCAATGGCGTTTACTTATGAATGAATCAGCTTTTTGAACGAATCGGACGAAAAAATGATTCAGTGATTCAGCAGAGTTAAATGCTTTGTTTCTGAATGAATCAGTCGTTTGAATGAGTCGGTTGAATCTCAATGACTCTCATTGACAGTCACCTGCTGCCACCTACTGGCGGTTTTAATTTTAACATTTCGACTATTTTTTCAAATAACAGTATTGAACGTTTTATGTTAAAAACAAAACATTATTTATCCATCTGTAACTGCAGGTTAAATGCATCCATGTCCCCTCTGAGATACATAAACTGTGTAAATACATCTAAATGCTATTTCAGATGCAGATTCCAGAAATGTTTTCTTATGTTGGAATGAAAGACACTAAGTATCAGATGAAGTGCTTCTTATTCTTACCCAAAAATACAAAATGGAAGAAAGAGTTAAAACTGAACACAATCTTGCTACTCAAGCTGTGTATGACAATTTTTAAATATATTTATTTGCTTCTTTTCCATTTTGCATTTACTTGTACTCTTACTTTCAATACTTACATACATTTAAGATAAAAAACATACTTTTCATACTTAAGTACAATAAATATCACATACTTTAAGACTTTTACTCAAGTAATATTCTAAACAGTGACTTCAACTTCTACCAAAGTCATTTTCTGGTAAGATATTTGTACTTTTACTTGAGTATGGCTTTCAGGCACTTTATACACCTCTGGGCTTGAGTGAGCGGCGCCCGGCAGATTCGACGAAGGAGGCTTGCGGCAACCACATGCAGTAGTGGAGGTAACGAATTACAACTACTCACGTTACTGTAATTGAGTAGTTTTTTCAGGTACTTGTACTTTTTTGAGTATATTTTTAAAGCTGAACTTTTACTTGTACTTGAGTACAAATTAAGCAAAATAATCTACTTCATTACTTTTAAATCATAGTACACCCACAATTTGAATTGATATTCAAACATTTGATGGCACTTCAGTAGCCAATAAAGATATCCGATCGTGAAGGGACCGATAACAGCCCTGATATCTGAACCGGGAAAAGCTGCCACTGCAGCAGGTGAAGAGCTGATCTGACAGTGAGGGAGCTCAGCGTAATTTATGGACTCAAAGTTTGGAGAAACAAACTACATGGTAATGTTATCATAAATATCTATATTTCGATACAGATACTGAAATATCTGACACGGTTCCATTACTCATTTTCCCAGTATCTACCGAATATAGCCTACACAAATACAAGCTGCATCTCTCTCTCCTTTCTGACAGTGAGTTTGACACGCATCCGAGTCTGAATGTCCGCGCGGGATTGCAGGTATTCCGCATAATTTTAATCATTCCCAAGCAAATGTGGTGAGCGCTTTATTGTAACATGAGAACACAGTCATGTAATCGCAGAAAACTGGATGCGAGCTCTCAAATAGGCCTAACTTGCAATCAAAGATGGAACTTTAATTTCTTTACAATGTAAATTTATCATAGAAATATTTTCAAAGCCATCTGATGTTCTATCTAAATAAATAGGCCTAACATACTGTATATGCCTCTTAAATCACTGCTTATAAAAATTCAATGTTGTCATATCTTGAATACCTCAAACTGAATTGAGGTCATTTGTTTTATAATTTCATTACTGACTGTGTACTTGTCTTTTTTTGTCAATTCAATTCAGTTTGAAATCAAGCTTCCTTGTGATGTAAGCTTTTGCAACAACGTTACCAAATACACAGAATGAGCAAATGTTTAAGATTGAGATTTTTGTAATGGTAATTGATCCATATTTATATGTATGTAGATAAAAGCCTATATTAAAATCTGTTCATCATATAAAGCCAATGTGTCTTTTTAGAAGACTTGGATTAAACCAATTTCAAAGCTTGAAATAATGATTGCCTTGAAAAAATGGATGGACCAAATTTTTTTAAATATTTATATGGCAGTATACAGTATGTGGTACTTTTGCCAATGGTATTGAAAATGTTGTCATGAAATCAAAAATGACCCTTTACTTTTTTAGTGCACATTATTAGTCTTGTGGTGAACAATTGAACCATGCAAGTCAATACAATGGAAAAAAAAATGTCTGCTGTCGCTTCCGCTCTGGAATGGCGTTCTCGCCCTGATGACGT